TAGTGGCATAACATTGTTAACAATTTGACAAAGATTTATAGCAAAGTCTCACAAAACAATGTATTTGCAGGAAAACTGAAATACAGAGGCATTTTTTGCTTTTGTGATTTTCTTTTATAATTCTTATCTTTTCTTCCCTTTTTTGTATTCTGTGAAATTTCTTCACTAAGGTTTAATTTTTGTCTAGCTCCCAAGTCTTTTATTTTTTGTTATTAATATAAGTTAATAATTTTCTTTCTTTTTTTAAAGATCTTCCTTTTTCTGTTGGTTCACCCCCCAAATGGCCACCATGGCCGGCGCTGCATCGATCCGAAGCCAGGAGCCAGGTGCCTCCTCCTGGTCTCCCATGCGGGTGCAGGGCTCAAGCACTTGGCCCATCCTCCACTGCCCTTCCGGGCCACAGTAGAGAGCTGGACTGGAAGAGTAGCAACTGGGACAGAAACCGGGAATAGAACCCGGGGTGCCAGTGCCACAGGCAGAGGATTAGCCAAGTGACAAGTTAATAATTTTCTATATTAGCTATATCAGAAATATATTTATGGAAACCACATTTTGAAATATCACTTTTCAATATCCATTTTCAATCAGGTGATGATATTGAATATGCTTTTCCAAGTATAATTGCTTTTTAAAAAATATTTATTCATTTGAAAAGCAGAGTTACATACAGAGATGAAGAGACAGAGAGATATCTTCTATCTGCTGGTTCACTGGCCAACTGGTCACAACGGCCAATGCTGGGCCAGGCTGAAGCCAGAAACCAGGAACTTCACCAGCGTTTCCAACGTGGGTGCCAGGGACCCAAGTACTAAAGCCATTTTCTGTTCACTTTCTCAGGTATTAGCAGGGAGCTGGATAGGTAGTGGAATAGCTGGGACCTGAATTGGTGCCCAAGTGGGCCTAACCTGCTGCACCACAATGCTGGCCCCATAAGTATGCTTATTTTACTGGCTGAAATCAACCTTGTTTGCTTGTATGTACCTTTTCTTACATGTTGAATTTGTTGACCTTATGATTGAGGATTATCTTTTCTCAAATATTTGATTTTTACTTTTTTATTCTTATTCATAGTTGACATTCATTTATCTACTTTTGTTGCTTGACTGGAGCTTTAAGTTATCTCTAGTACCCAAGAATTCCTTGCTCTCTATAACTCCCACATTTGCCTTGCCAATTTCCAAAATCTTTCATCAGATACTGATCACTTTATTCTCACCACAGAGTATTTCTAGTTATATAAGTGTGCCAGTTGGCTCCTGTATAAAATATGTCATCTTACTTTACCTGGGCTTTCACTGCTAGTCTAAAGAGGAAATGCATTGCTCTTCTTTCCTTCATGTATCTTCAATGCAGCTTCCATTAGATGAAAAATCACGCATATTCCGGCCCTTAACTTGTTTAAAAAAACATTTTTTACTGAATAAAAAATATTAAAAATTTCAGAGATGTGTAAAGAACAAAATAATAAGCAATTGTAATCACTTACCTAAAGGTAATTGCAAACATATGTATATATCTGATCCTGTTTTTAAACTTAGCCTTATACACTTTCTGTGCCAATGGAAACAATGGAGAGCTTGGTACTAATGAAGTCCAAAATACTTGTAGCAATAAGTGAAATCATATATAGATATAAAATTAGAAGAGGCTCATGGAAAGGGACAGCTAAGAAATGCTCCGTTAGGGTTGAAGAAATCATCAAAGATTGGACTGCAGGAATAAGCATGACTTTAATTCGATTGGACTGTAGAGCAATTTATATGCTGGGAGGGGGTCAAAAACCATAAAGTAATAAGCTAGAAATTAGTGAAAGCTAACAATTTGGGTGTCACTCCAACAGAAACAAACTGGCAAGAAACTTAACAGAGTGAAAAGGGAAAAAAAAGAAAGATAGGCCATTGAAAATCACAGTCATCCTTGACAGCCAGGAACAATATAAACATGCCCAAAGCTGTGCCCTCTGAGTACTATCAGAGGCTGCGCATGCACACTTCAGAGGGAAATATTTCAGTGTACTAATCCAAACAAGTCGCTAAACAAATCAAGAAAAAAAATACAACAAGTCACAAAATGGGGGATGTGTGGAGATCTGTATCCAGAATAATGAATGAGTATACTGCACAATATAGATTTTTTTTCAACTTTATTATAGTATAACAGAGAAACAGAAATCCTACATATTCAAGGTGTACAAGGTATACTTTGTGAAATCATTACAACTAAATTTAATGAACATATTTATCATCCCATATAATTACCTTATTTTGTGGTTACAATATTTAAGACCTACTTTCTTACAGAATTTTAAGTATACATTATTATTAACTACACTTACCAGGGTATATTATGTCTCCAAACCTTATTCATCTTGTAACTTCAATTTTGTGCCCTTTCAAAAATTAATGGGAAATGGAACTAAAAGAGAAGCTTATTTTGGTGCAAAAATTTGAGACCCATGCATTTTTTTCATAGTACACATCTTCCATGAACTTTCTGAAGATCCTTCATTGATACCACATTTTAAAATCCATTCACTTGTTGACATTCATAAGTTGTTTCTGTACCTGATTGTGAATAACACTGCAATGAATATGGGAGTGCAAATATCTCTTCAACAAACTAATTTCAAATATTTTGGGTGAATAACACAGAAGCAAGATTGCTGGACCACATGGTAAATCTAATTTTTAGCTTTTTGAGAAACATCCATACAATTTTTCATAATATATATATATATTAATTTACAGTCTCACAAATGTACAAGTGTTTTTTCTTCACATACTTGGCAATTTTTGTCTTATTTTTTGATGAGTTATCCTAACAAATTGCAATTGATATCTCATTGTGGTTTTGGTTTGCACTGACCTGGTGATTGGTGGTGCTGAGCACCATTTCATATTATATTTGATGCCCTTCAAATGTTTTATTCGGATAAATGAGTATTCGTGCTCTTTGTCCATATTTTACTCAGATCACTCTTTTCCCAAGACTTAGGTACAGAGATTAATGAGTTCCTTATATTTCTGGATATTAATCCTTGGCCAAATAAGTAGTTTGCAAATGCTAATGTATATTTCTCAGCAAAAAGTTATCAGACATGAAAAGTAACAGCAAGTATTGTCCACACACTGGGGAAGGGGAGCAATAAAACTGTTTTTGAAGTGGCCTCAATATCTAACTTAGCAAAGACTTCAAGTAGTTATTATAAATAACCCCAACATCACACTTAAAGAATAAAAGAAAAAAAAGTATGCTGAAAATGTGTCATCAAATAGAAAACACTGATAAACAGTTACAAAATATTTACTCAAAATAATTGCTCAATGTGAACTTAGATTGATCAATAGATTACCAAGTACAGAGTTCAAGTGGAAGGGCAACAGGTACTTATCATGAAAATGAAAGAGGTAGTATGCCGAGATAACAGTGTACAGGTGGAAACACACAAAAGACCATCCATAGAGATGGGAGAAAATACAGTGAAAATCTTTGGAAAATTAAGGCATCCATGACAGAGAATTAAAAAACAAATACAATAAAGGCCAAGGCAAGACCGAAATTAGTAGAAAACTGAAAAAAAAACTTTGTGTAAGAATTGCCCCAGTGCAAGAATAGGCAGTGAAGATGTAACAGTTCAGCAAAGTTGTAGGATACAGAATCAGCATGCCAAATATCAGGCCCATTTCTATATACTCTCATTGGGCAACAAGAAAAGCCGATTAATTTTACAGTACAATACCATTGAACAAAATAAAATGTCTAGTATAAAATTAACCAAGTTCAAAAAGTTTTTCTAAACTGAAAATTACATATTACTGATGAAACAAGTATTTGCAAAAATGGGTAGCCATTAAAGCCATTGTGCTTGCTGCTGAGAATGCAAAGTGGTACAGCCACTACAGAAGGCAGTATGGGAATTCTCAGAAAATTAAATGTTAAATTTCCATTTCATTTCTACTTCTGGGCCCACACTTGTTATGTGCTGAGCTTTGTCCCACCCAATATACACGATTAAGTCCTAACCTCCAATGCTATACAAGGTGACCATACAAAGAGAAATGGTCTTTGAAGTAGTAATTAAGTTCAGTGGGTCCTAAAGCAATGTAACTGATGTCCTTATAAAACTAGGGAATTTGCATACTGACCGACACACAGGAAAACCATATGAAGGCACTGAGAGAAAATGACCATCTACAAACCAAATACAGAGGACTCAGGAGAAAGCAGTGACTCAAACAGATATATGTACAACTACGCTCACAGCAGCATATATATAATTTCATCAGTTTAGAACTGAGGGAAATTACGGCTAATACTACAAAATGGATGAACTCTGAAGATATGTTGCCATGTTAAATATACCAGACACAAAAGGAAAATATTTTGTCATTTCACTTATATGAAGCACCTGGAGCAAATTCAAAGAAACATAAAGTAGGTAGTATCTAGAGGCTGAATAAAGCAAAATGTAGTTAGTGTTTAGTGTTTACAGAACTTAAAATTGGGAATATACATTCTGAATATGGATGGCAGTGATGGCTGCACAACAGCATCAATATACTTAAGAACACTCAGTTGCACTGTTCAAATGATTAAAATTATAAATTCTATATATGTATACCTTACTACAAACAATTGTTATGCATGAATATACATTAAAATAATTATACACGTTAAAATTTTTTACAAAATCACTTAAGGACAGAAAAAATATAACTTCCCAAAATTACATCAAACAAGCTTTAAAACTGTAAAAGCTGTAAAACACAATATACTTAATAAACTCATGTTACTATTGTTACTTAAACTTACTCAATTTACTAAGAAAACAGTAAAAATAATAAAAATGAATCAGAAAAATTCTCCAGTTAAAATTATAAAATATCAGAAATAATTTTTAACAATTATATGAAAGCAACATGACATGTAAATCAAGCCCTTTACAGATTGAATATATATTTAAGATACACTAATTTCTACAATTAATAAAAAAGCATATATAAGGAAATGGCTAAAGAAATGTAGAAGTCTATCAATGCACAAAGTTAAAAATTATTCTAACAAATGGTACTCTCTGAGAATTAACAATATAAAGACAGTTTCAATGACAGGACTATACTTGACTGAATATTTGCAACATGAACCCTTTTTTAAATTGTTTTGTATTTTGTTTTGTTTTTATGTTTTTTTTTTAGAATAAAAATCTTATATCTATAACACAACCCATTTTCCTGTTTCCCAAGAAAATGAATTGACCTTGGAATCAAACAGAGAATAAGAACTTGTAAGTGACAAACAACAAGAGGTCACTAGAAAAAAGATTATATACAAAGCTCTCCTCCTGGCAATCCAAACTCCCTGTCCCTATCCCCAGGCAGCCTGTCAGGGCATGCCAGTGTGTGAGGGGGGACTAAAAGGCTCCCAGAGAGTCTGGAAACTGACAAAAGTAACTGCATTGAACAAAGGGGAAAGGAAAGTGGCAGTAAAATGACCTAGAGGTCTGGTAGAGTGAGATGAGCTTTGCTTGTGGACTGAGTGCTGGAAAAAGGGGGAAGAAAATATTTTACTAGGTCATGTAACAGTACGTTAGCTTCCATCTTGTCAACTATTTCATCTATGGAGGTAGAAACTGAGGACAGAAGGAAAGCTTAGCATACCTCCTACTCCCCAGGAGAGTAGATGTTTCTTTACCCAGTTCTAACTTTTGCCCAGCCTACTCCCCTCCAAACAGCTGTGAGATCCTTTAGCTAAAATCTGTACTAAAAAATCCAACTGCAGTGGTGATCTTTGTGCCTTGTCCAAACCCTCCAGCCACAAAAAACTTGTAGAGTATGGGTGGGGAAAAGAGAGCTAAAGGATAAAATTACAGTCTCCACTCATTCCCTACTCAAATGCAGACCCCAGGGTTGGACTGGGTTAGGCAGACAAGGAAGGAAGACCAGACAGCTACTCTCATTATCAGGGATCCATTCAGGTATGTTGGGAAGCAACAGCAGGTGAAAGCTTATCAAGATGATGGTCTCCCTCTAGGGAGAAGTAGGGGACTACTACAAAGGGGGAGCCAGGAACAATTAGTAACAATTAGTAGCCGCAATTAGTAACAAGTAGTGGGAGGAGTTTTTGAGTGCCCTAATTTTTATGGATTATCCTCCACTATCTCTTAACCCCTGAGTGATGACCAGAGGGGCCCCTGCAGGTGGTAGGCTGATCAAGGGCATAGTCTGAGGTAGGTGCCCTTGTAGAACAACTGAAAGAAAGGAAAGATACGCTCACCCAAGAAAGCAGATGAGAAGGTGTGCAAATGGGTTAGTTTGTCCATATTGTAGAAGTCCAGGCGCCCAGCCTCATAGTCCAGGTAGATGCCCAAACGCCCCGCTTTATCAGTTGAACTCGAAGATGTCTGCTCTGAAATGGAATGGGTTGCAACACACCATACTCCCCCCTGGTAGTTCAGCTTCTGGAGCAGCTGCGGCTGGCTGTTAAGATGATGGTCCACAGAGCTGGAATTGCAGCTATCCACATGGGATCCCTCCGAATCCAACTTTTCCTTCTGAATGATGGATTCACAGGCAACGCCTAATGCCCAGCCCCCTGGTCCACGTACCTCTATCTCCCAGTAGTGCCGGCCGGAGCAGAATCCTTGGGCCCCCAGGACACAGTAGTTGTTCAAGAAGCGTTTGGGAGTGTAAGCAAGGTCCTGTCGCTGCTCTGCCAGGTGGACCCCCCGACAGTCAGCAGACAGCATCAGGTTTGAGTGAGCAGTGTCAGGATCCAGAGTCACGTCCGCTTTCTCAACTTGGCAGAATACCTGCCCCATTTTCCTCACGATGGAATCTTTCAGGTATTCATGACTCTGGGGTTGGCACAAGAAGGTGCAGCTGGGGGCTAGGGGCTTCAGCTGTACCCCTTCACACTTATCTAAAGTCTCTTTGATGTCCTTGAGCAGCTGTAGGCCCCCTTCCTGGCTCTGCTCTTGGACCTGGGCCAGCAAGTGCCTTAGCTGGGTGGCCTGCTCTGACAGGTTGCTGGCCACTGCTCCCACATGCCCCAATTGGGCTCCGTGCCTGTGTCGGAGACACTGCTCCGCGTATGCTTGCTCTTCCGTCAGAAACTTTGTCAACTGCCCAAATGCTAAGGCCACGGATGTCAGCTCGGACTTCATCCGGTTCTTTAGTTCTATCAAGCGCGTCTCCTCTCTGGCCTTCCTATTCTGTACATCCTCCAGGCACTTTCTTAGCGGCTGCAATTGACTCTGTAGCTTAGCTTTGTACTCTTGCACTGCCTCATCCAATGGCACCAAGTTGTGATACTTGTGGGTCCCAGATTCTTGGCACACCACACAGATGGGCTCTTCATCTACCTGACAGAAGAGCTTTAGGGCTTGTTTGTGTTTGGGACAGATGCCTTGCTTATTCACAGCAATCTGTATGCCAGGCATTGGGTGCATCTGCCGAATCACCTGGACCATGTTGGCCAGCTGTAGGTTGGGGCGGAAGTTCCGCCGAGAAAAGCTCTTTTGGCACTGGGGACAGGTGAAGTACCTTTTAGGGGCTGGAGGTGGGGGCATTGGACTATCAGAGTCTAGCTCCCCTTCCTTGTCTTCCTCAAGTACTTCCTCCTCATTTTCATCTTCTCCCCTCAGGTTCCCTTCTGTGTCCGCCATATAGTAGGATGGGTTTTCCTTCTCACCCTCCTCCTCTTCGCACCCATAGCCCGAGTGGGAGCCACCACTGCTAATACTCCAGAATTCATGCTCTTTCCCCGCCTCCTCCTCCCTGTCTCCTTCAGTGTACTCTTCCTGTGTGGGGCTGTTCCACCCCTCACCGGCCCCCACAGTTTCTCCTTCCTCCTCCTCGCCATCTTTCTCCTCTCCACTCTCCTCCTCTTCACTATCCTCCTCCTCCTCATCCTCTCCATTCACCTCCTCCGATCCGTCCTCGTCCTCCTCCTGATCTGACTCATCCTTGTCCGCCTCATCCTCTCCACTCCACAGCTCTGTCACGCACACTCGGCAAAAGTTGTGCCCACAGCCAATAGACACTGGGTCTGTGAAGTAATTAAGGCAGATGGTGCACATTGCCTCCTCTTGAAGAATCCGCACAGGATCAGGTATGGCAACAGCCGCCATCTTAGTTCGAAGTCAGCCAATAGATGTGCGGGAGTAGAGCGGGGATCGAGGGGCAGGAATCCTTCGTGTCAGATGTCAGGGGATCTGACCCTACTGCTAGCCCTTTCGCTCCACACCTCACCACCAATAAGGCAGAAAAATGTTCTCTGGACCACTCACCACTCTACAGAGTTCTCTACTACTAGAGTTCAGCGTTAACGCCAAACTCCCGCCACTGTGCCTCCTCTCAGACTTCCGATTCTCTCACTTCCTGGCTTCACACCCCCTACTTCCGGTCTCCTTCCCAACATCTCCGGGTGTCTTTGTATGACACAAGCTCATAAGTTCCCAGAAAGATTGTGTTACACCCGTTATCCCCAATCCTCCTCTCCCAATCCCCCCACCTCCCTATTGCTAGTTCTGCACCACCCTCTCCTGGGGTTGACAGGAAACAGTAAGAAGATATACGGGTGGCCACTGAGATTCATGTCTCTGTGATGTGGGAGAATCGGGAACACTGGTGGGACTACCCAAAATCATCTGCTCCTCACCACTGAGCAGAAACCTTACAGTATAATAGAAAGTTTGGCGGACAGCTTCTGTTGGTGCTATGAAACATCCACCAGGTGCCATTTTACCAACTGAGCAGTTTCAAATCTACCATTAAATAGCTATGTTTCTGTTAACCGAACATCTTTTAACCACACTGAGACTTGATTTTCATATTTGAAAAACATAGATAAATATTTATTTTAAATTGTACTAAGGCCTTTATAAAAGATAATTAATAGGAACATTTGCCAGAACAAGTGAGGCATAAATAAAGGTAGTGGGAATATTGGCTTTCAGTAATTCTTATGTCACACTTTATATATTACCACTTACTCTACTTACATGTACAAATGACTGTGTTAAATATATGCCACTCAGCATTTCTATGAATAGGTGGCTTAGGTTTATCTCTAAATATATGTTTCAGGTGTCATTGCTTAACTCTGTTTATTGTTGGGACTGTGAAAAGAGCTACTGAATCTAGCCATGTTTGTCCAAGTGATTTTTAGGGTAAAACAAGGAAGAGTTTCCTCTACTTCAAGGGCCTTGCCTCCCCTACATCACAAAAGGGATAGTTTATTTGTAAGATATTTTTGTTAGTGTTAAAGATCCACAAGCCTAAATTAATACATTTGGTGTACAGTAGAAACAGACAGTGTTTTTACTTGAGCAGGTGGTGCTAGAAAGGAAACTTGGAGAGGTTTTTCGCTGTCTTCTTCTTAAATTTATAGCATTCATTTACAAAGTACTTACTGTATACCATACTCGAACCTTAATACTTCACATATTATTGTACTTAATGTTCACAAAAATATTTATTATTATACCCACACATTGCAGATGAGGAAATTGAGGCATTAAGCACTTGCATAACTTTGTTTCCACAATAGTGAAGTAAGAGTTCAAAGCCAAGTATTGAAACAAGGTTCTTTGATACCCAGGTTTCTAATCTTTAAAGTATATTGTCTTTATTCTGTTTCCTTCTATAAATATGAAGGGATATTTCTTCTAAATAAAATGAGTCATGAGGAGAGCAAAAATTCAGTTGAGACAAGAAGGCTAAAGTGCTATAATCTGACAATGACCTGAAAGTGGGGGACTTTTCTGGGAATCATGGGAAGGACACATTTAAGACTTAAACATAGGATGTATGGCTAGGCAGTGGAGGTTGAGTTCATAATTCTATCATGTATGTCTTTATGGTCTTTTTTACCTGAGGCATCAGATGAAAATACCGTCTTATCAGTATATCAGTATAAAATTCTATCAAAAATGTGTTTATAGAAAGGAGTGTAGTGCCCACATCCTGCACAAATGCCGGTTCAAGACCCGGCTGCTCCACTTCCAATCCAGCTCTCTGCTATGGCCTGAGAAAGCAGTAGAAGATGACCCAGGTCCTTGGGCCCCTGTACCCACATGGGAGAACCAGAAGAAGCTCCTGGCTCCTGGCTTCAGATTGGTGCAGCTCTAGCCATTGCGGCCAATTGGAAGTGGATGGAAGACTTTCTCTCTTTCTCTCTCTCTCTCTCTTTCCCTCTCCTCTCTTTGTGTAACTCTTCAAATAAAATAAATAAATCTTAAAAAAAGATGTCATTTGATACACTTTCATCTCATATCAGAATTTCTGGGTTTAAGTTCCAGCCAGCTTCCCTCTCAATTCCAGCTTCCTGCTAGTACATCCTAGGAGGAAGCCAAGTGATCGCTGAAGCAATTGAGTCCCTGCCAACCACGTGGGAATTTATCTAACCTAAATGAATTTATCTGAAGAATATGAGAATGGGAGATCTCTCTCACTCTCTCTCTCCCTCCCTCCCTCTATCCCTCCCTGTCTCTACTTTTCTCTTTGTTCTCTCTTTCTCTGAAGTTAAATTGAATTAAATTTAAAAGAAAGGAAATAATGAGTAGGGTGATGTTATTTCTTTTTCCCTGTGACTACTTAGAATGCCTTAAGAGTCCTCATCCTTCCCATTTCTACCTAAAACTTTAAAAAATCCATCTACACTACTTCGCTAATCCCAATGTTATCTCTGGGCCTCTTATTAGTACTAGAGCATTATCATTTAAAGAAAAAGATTCAGTAGTAAAAGAGAAAAGGCAGGCAGCTAAAATATTTTAGTGGTTCCTAAGCAAAACCAAAACCAAAACCAAACCAAAAGAGGCCAGCCTTGTGGTGCAGTGAGTTAGGACGCCCCCTGTGATGCAGGCATTCTATGTGTGAGTGCTTGTTTGAGTTCCAGCTGCTCTGCTTCCAATTCAACTTCCGATAAATATACTTGGGAAGGAAGCAGAAGATGGCTTAAGTATGTGGGTCCCTTCAATCCATGTGGGAGACCAGGATGGAATTCCTGGCTCCTGGCTTCAGCTTCGACCACACCTGGCTGTTCTGGCACTTTTGGGAGGAAACTAAAGGAGGGAGGGTCTCTGTCTCTCCCTTTCTCTGTGTTGCTCTGCTTTTCAAATAAATAAATAAATCTTTTAAAATAAACAAAATAAAAGGACAGTTATGAAAAGAAAAAGTAGAGTCACCAATAAGAACAAATCAAAGTAAAGGAATAAAAATTAAAAAAGACATGGTGCATGCATGTGGCACAGCAAGTTGAGCTGCCTGTTATGACGCTGACATCCAATATCAGCATGTTGGTGCAAGACCTGGCTATGCCATTTCCAATCCAGCTTCTTGCTGATTCATTCTGGGAGGCAGCAGATGATGGCTCAAGGATTGGGGTCCCACATGAGACACCCAGATGGAGTTCCTGACACCTGGATTTGGCCTGACCCAGCCCTGGATGTTGAGGGCATTTGGGAAGTCAAACGACTCTCTCTCTCTCTCTCTCTCTCATCTCTGCCTCACTCTTACTGTACTTTTCAATGAGATGAAAAATAAAAATAAATGAACATTACAATAAAAAGCCCTCTCATGCCGACTACTTTTTAGTAGATACTACTATCCTGAAACTTTATCTGTCGTTTTGACAGTGACCAAATTGATGGTGTGTTTTTTAAATGTGTCTAATGTGAAAACAGAGGACAAGTTTGGGTAAGTCCAATATATCTACAAAGTGTGCTGTTTTAGGAAAAAATTGCCCAATTCATTTATCTTGAGATGACACATTCATATTTGTCCTTATATGGAATCAAATTAGGAGGTTGCCTGTGGGGTGACATTTGATAACTAATGTTCTACTATTAGTGACTTGTTCCATAGAGAAATTCATTGACTTCTTTAAAAAATGTAAAAGAATATAAAAAGGGAAAATATTCCCAACACTTTTCTTATGAATTAATTTATGAACTAGTTTTCCTGTGTAATAGAGTAGAAGTCTTGGGCTCTCAGCTGTGACTATTTGTGATAGCAGGAGTTCAAAGTAGATATTGTGGAGAGGGCAAAGATTGAAGATGTAAATCTCAATGAAGTTAGGATTTGCTTCTTTCACAACTTAGTTAAGAGTTGGGAAAAGTCTCTTGGCTTCTTTATCCATGGACTCTATTTCTTAACGTTTTTGAGTTAGTGTCACAATAAATCACACACTCTATGCAAGCTTTACCAGAGTTGTCCTGTGTTTCAGTTACAGTTTGTGCCATTCTGCAAATTCCCACCTGCCTATCATGTGTCAGTTACAGATTTCCAAAAAGGAAGCATCACCACCAATTCTGGTTTTTATCCAGGAGGTTATGCAAGAACTAAAAATACATGAAGAGATTAAAACAGTACAGCAGAAGCTACGACACCTGCCTCTGTCAGTCAGGAAGACAGTTGCAAAGGTGCTAGAAGCTCTTATCCAAATGGGAGTAGTTGAAAGAGTGCATACATCTAACTAGGGAGGGAATCATGAATAAATTAGGAGGAATTCAAATTAATGCTAATGTGTGCAAGAGCTGTAATTGTTGGCTGCAATGGTTGAAAATGTTTGTGTCATTTCTATCCATTCCCTCTTCCTCTAAATGATTGAACTGCTCCAGTGTAACCAGATTCTGGGATGCAGCCATTCTGGGAACTAATATATATATATATGTATAATATATATTTTATATATATTATATAATATATATTACATGTATGTAAATTATTGGGGATAAATTGGAAGGATAACACCTATGATAGTTCTTCATAAGTGATTTTTTTGCAATTTTGGTGGACTGTATCATTTAGCTTACATGAATAATAAATAACAAACAAATAAAATGTCAAAAATTATGACACAATAAATTAATCCTGAATTGTTTTCAAGGTGATGATAGGGAGTTCAGTGAATGGTAAGGAGGTTTTTCTAAGTGAAATGAATTAACATTTTCATATATTAATCACTTCCTCTAGAAAATTCCCCCTCATTAGTTTCTATGAATGGAAAATAAACACTTGAAAAATTAATTTGTGAAATTTTGACTCAAACAGAAGGGAGAAAAATTCAGTTATTTTGGGAATGGCTAAATAATGGTTCTTAATATATTCGTTCTTCAATTTCAAGTAGAATGTTTCTCCAGATTAATAGCCCATCTTAGTTTTATTTTAATAGGTCACTACTTGAGGAAGGTTAGAACCTTTAGATGATAATACTAGAAATCTTAAACATCCAACAATTTTTCTTATATGTATCCAGGGAGGCTACCATTAATCGACCATTTTTGGGCCTGGTTAAATACAATTATATAACCAACATTTTCAAGACTTCTTGCACCCTCATTT